TTAGGCGAGCATGTTTTTTCTCTTTCAGGCAGAATAACAGGAGCTTTAATATGATGAGCAAACAGCAGGTGTAAACTCTGAAAGGAAAAGTGTTCCCTTTAGAGTAAGTCCTTAAAAACAGCCATCAGTCTGATTTGCAGTAATGCTGACAACCTCCAGCCCTCATCCTTCTTCTCTGCAAGTGACCGGGCCTTACAGAGTGATCAGGTTTGGTACCTGTGCATCTGCCACCCCCAGTAAACCAAAACAGATCCCATAGAACAGTTCAGCAAAAACTAGCCTGTCTAAACTGTCTGATTGCTTTGCACAACTTTGTACTGCAAGGGTTTGCAGGCACAGCAGATGGTGTCCTTAAATGCCATGGTCCTGGATAAATTCTGCTTTAGTGAAGGACTGGGAAGGAACCCCCTTCCATCCAGTAGAAATGCAGAAAGTGCAGTAACTCTGAAGGAAGTCAGAAGCGTTGCTTTCCACTCTGTGTACAGGATGTTGACTTGGGACAGTGTTAGCATTAGCAGTACACTTACAAATCACCCAGTCAGCCTTCTGTGTGTCTGGGTACCAGCAGGAGCTGAGAACATTTGTGTTTCTCACAGGAATTGCTTCAATTTGCTTTGCAAAAACCATGCAGTTCCCAGTCAAACCTGTTAGTGCTGACACGTTCAGTCCATTTTTTACAGAAGAGTTGACCTGGATGCTTATTTATCCTCTTGAGACTCCTTCTGCCATTGAGCTGTCTCTCATCATCAGTGCTCTTAATCCTAATTCTGTTCAATTGCCCACAATGCCTCTTGAAACTTCTTTCAGTCTACAGAATTATGTTTAATGTTTCATGCTTAAAGACATTACTCTAGGCTATCAAGTTTTGCCTTTAAATTGGAAAGTAGAGATCTTGCCTAGAATGGGGGAAGGAACCCAGATGGGCATCTCTCCTTTCAGTGAGCATGAAGTGTAGTAACACAATAAAGCCTTTTGCCAAGCATGCAGTAAATCCAATTATGAGAGTTTTATACAAGTTTGGATAACTGCTTACTATAAAAAAAGGCAAAAAATAATTCACTTAAAGGGCACCTTTGCTTGCATTTGGCTTTAGGGTTCCAAATGCTAATGATGGCAACAGACTGCAGAAACCATTCAGGAATGCTGGAATTTGGAGGCCAGGCCAGTTAGAGGAGCACAAGACAGTGTTAGCTTTTGATGCCTCAGTCCTGCCTGCTCATTTTTTTCCTGGAGTTACTCAGTTTGTGTGCTTTAATCCTTACACAGCTCACTAGTTCAGGCTTTGCAGCCTGTATTAGGTGCACTGTCAGCAGTCCAGAGCTGACAGGACAGTACCACTGTCCCAGGCTTGGATTGGGCATATGAAGGGGTGAAAACAGACACAGTAAGTAGAAAAATAACAGGAAATTTTAAGTAATGTGTGTGAATTGAGTATAGAAACCTTCCTCCCTGTACTTCAGAGCAGTTCTAAAGCCAAAGCAGAGGCAGAGCTGAACCAGGCACTGCTCTTGTTCCTCCCTGTCTGTGTGGATCTGAGAGCCAGCCGTGCTCATCCTGCCTTTCTTCCTTGCTGCACCCCAGGCCATTGCTGTAGGACACATTCAAGGCCCTGTGCAGAGGAGAACAAGTGGCTCTGTGGGGGTTTAAATGATCTGCCCAGTGCCCTGAAGAGCTGCTGTGCAGGTGAGCTGGGAGTGCTCATCCAGCTGTGCTGCAGCCCCGTCCTCACACGTTCACCACAGCTGGATTTCACCAGAGCCCCCGGGGCAGAGTGCAGCCACTGGCTTTCAAAACACTTGCAGAATGTTTGGGCCTAACTCTTTGGGGAGGATTTAATTTTCTTAATGACTCTGAGTAAAGTGTGCACTGCACCCACTCTGAAGGCTGAAGGCTGAGGCTCTGCACAGGCCTCTCATCTCTTGGAAACAGAACAGCTTAGCTCCTCACAGGGCTTGAGCCTTCACATTTCCCTTTTGTGGTTAAAAAAAGCACATCTTGCTAGAAGCATCTGTGCTCCCTGCAATACTCAATTCACACACATGAACCACGACTTAATTTTGGTGTCTCTTTGTATTCCATACAGCAGCTCCAATGTACTCAGCTGGCTGGTTTTCAGTAGCCAATGCAGAGCACTTTCCCCACATCAAAAAGAGCTTCCTTGGCTTTAATCTCCCAACTCCCTTGTTTCTGTTAAATAAAAGCCAGATTTTACATGAGGGCACTTCAGAGAGAGTGAAGGAGTGTGAGGGGGCTTTAAATATGGTTTTTTGGTTGCTTGTTTGTTTTGTTTTTCCTTAGGAATGGTTTACACTTAGTTTGTGTAGCTGCCTGTATTAGTGTTTCTCATGAACACATTTACTATAACACCTAGGTCTGCTCTACAAAATTTAGAAAAAAGGAAAAAACGTTGTCTCCACAGTGAACATCCTCCTTCCTCCGCCCCCAAATCCACGTGGCATTTCAGCCCATTCAAGTGAAAGAAACCCTTAACCACTGACACAAATGGGAATTAAGCAGAAAAATTCCAACTCCTCATGGCAGTCTTTAAGTTTTAACCCTGTGCCTTCCTCTACCTAACAGAGCTCCAAGTGCTGTACTTCACAAAAACATGGAGAGAGGGAATTCTGTTCCTGTTCTTACGCCAGTAAATTAGAAATGACAGGAGAAGCCTAAGAGTGCCATGCACAGAGTCATATCCCAAGTCCAGAAATCAGGCAAATAATGGACCCCAACTAAGGCAGTTTTCTAACAAGACAAAGTGGGACAACTTTCCTCAGCTTCCAGTGCAGGTTCCGAGCTGAGAATGTCTCAAGCACCAGAAGTCGGATGAGAGACAACCAATAAATGGAAGATGCAAAACTGCTTTACATAGCTAACAGCGACACGAGCACCTCCAGCATCAGCTGAGAACACAGGGAAGTTCATCTTGATTTTGGCTTTAGGCAGAAACACTTGTAAGGTGTAATTCCCAATTGCCAGTTTAAGCCAAGAGAGCTGAGCCTGGGTGCCATGCAACCCTGAGTCTCCCCAGTGGAAAACCACACTCTACAGCTTTCATCAAGGATAGAAATGTTATTCTGGAAGAAAACAGGATAACTGTTCCTTTCACAATGAGAAAATATCCATTACCTCAGAGTTTCACATGTGAATAATCTGGTTCAGAGCTCATTAAATTAACTTGGAGAAAAAAAAAATCAACCTCACTACAGTGATCTCTAGAAGGCCAAAGTAACAAAGGGAATGGGGGAATGAGATTGGTGGAGGGGCAGGGATAAAGTGTGAATGTCTAGGATAAGACAAGAAATGGCATATAATACAGAACTGAAAAAAATTTCATCTTAGTTTCTTCAAATTTCTTGTATGTCATGCAGTGTTATTACTTTTGGATAGTTTGGAGTTTATTTTCCCACCAGGCAGCCAAATTTAACTACTGTTATTAATACAAATGTCAATAACAGTTACACAGCAGTGGGAAAATACAGTTCATTCAGCATTTCATTATGGAGGTGTATTAAATGCCTCTGCAAGCCTGTCTGTCTGGCAAAGTAATCAGTGGGAGTTTTATCAAGGCTGCACATAGGCCTACCAGGAGGATTTATGGGAGCCACACGTTTCAAATTTTTGTGGATTATTCTAGAAATGTCCCTCTTGTCCAAAGCTATATTTAAAATGTGGAGCTTTCAAACCTAATTCTGTATTTCATTAACCAGGCCCAAAATGGTATTTTAGAAGTCCCCTCTCAGAGAAAGTTCTCGCTAAGCATTACTGGTGGGATAGGAGGGGACCCTGAGCCACCTGTGTGCATGAAGCAGAACCTGCCCTGAGTGGCACAAGCTGCCCCTGGCTGGGGAACAGCACACAGCCTTTCTGTGGGGTTTGTGCCAATGTCCTTCCACTTTGTAATGACTTTATAATACAAGGGACAACACAGACTTGAACAGAGCTATGAGGTGGTGGGCTTTTGCATGGAATTGGGTATTCAGTTTGGGTTTTTTACAGAAACTCTTTTTTCCCATCGTACCTATAAGCGATTTGAATGCTTCTGCTCCTTCCATACTTCAGGTGTACTAATCTGCACCAAATCCTTTCTTTGATTTACAGATTCAGCCAGTGATTCTCTACACAAGCCCAAGGTCCTTTTTAGAGAAAGCCACTTTCAGACCTGTGTGCAATTTACCCTACTCTATCTCCATGTATCTTGGGAGAAACCTCCCAGACCCTGATGTGTACACGTTATCTGTTGCCTTCCTTAGACAGGAGAGAGGAGGAGAGAACCAACTGAAAATAGATTTCAAGAGGGGGAAATGTAATTTATGTCACCTGCATGACAATTTAATTGTAATTGAGGTCTATAGGTTTTTGTGTGATAGCAGAGATTTAAAGCTTGATGCAACTCAACAATGAAGGCAAGGCTTTAATAAGGCAGCATTAAGCTGGGAATTGAACAGAATCAATACTGAGAATTAGCAAGAAAAGATTATAAAAGACATTTCAGTATTCAAGGAAAAAACAGTTTTTGCATTTGATCATTTATGCAGCATACCATGGCTGTGTTTTGCCTTATTTTGGTGTTCAGAAGTGCAGCAGAACCACAAAATCAGGGAACTCAAGCAAACAGGAAAGCTTTTGGCTTTTTTATGGTTAAAATGCATGGGTAGAAACACAGCTCCATTCCAGAAATCCCATTTGCTGAAATGGAAACCAGGCAATTGAGACTATTGCAAACTGCATCAGAGATTAAACCAGCCTGCAACAAAGGAACCTTCATTCCAAATCCAGCAAATCCTCACCTTGTCTCTAACTGTAAAGGTTTTCACAGTAGATGGACACTGGAATGTTCTATAACTTCTGTTACCCCGCAGGAGCAATGCAACAAGGTCAGTGTTTAACACAAACCCCTCTTTTTCTTTTTCTTTTTCTTTTTCTTTTTCTTTTTCTTTTTCTTTTTCTTTTTCTTTTTCTTTTTCTTTTTCTTTTTCTTTTTGCCCCAATCTCTACAGGGAGGTCCTATCCAGAACCGAAAATCCAAGCGCTGCCTGGAATTGCAGGAGAACAATGAAAATGAATTTGGATTTCAAGTGGTCCTTCAGAAGTGCACTGGACAACGCTGGTCCATAACAAATGTCCTGAGAAGCTTGTCATTATAGCAGACTAAATTTTGTACCCATTTCTTTTGCTACTGTGTAGCAAGTACTGCATTGTCGCCTGCTGTACTGTATCCCTCCCGCTCCCCGTCCCCCCAGCTCCTTCTCTCCCCTTTTTGTCTCTGATTTGATTTTGTGAGTGTGTGGAAATAGGGTTTATGGGCTGGAAATAAGAAGTTTTTATTTCACAATGATGTTTTCACGACATTTATAGAGATGCTGAATGACAGGTGACGGGTAGGCTATCCTAAAATATTTTACAACTGTAACTATTAAGCAAATGGAGAATATTTATATCTCAAACTTTTATTGAATAAAAAAGCCCAAACACTATTACTGGGTAGGTGTCTCCATGGAAATCAATTTGGAAGCTAAGTGCTGGTTTCATTGCTTCATTAACCCAAGCCTGATCCTGGCATGTTGCTGCAGAGCATCAGAATTCTGCAGACTTTGGATAAAGAGTTCTACCTGCACACCAGCAGCTACAGCAAGGGAGGATTTTCTCCATTCTCCCTCCAGAGCTCTGTCTAGGCCACGGTAGGTACCGGTGTGCAAATACAGGGGAAAGGTCTGGGGTGTGGAGGTGTTATGTCCCCAAGTATTTTTCCTCTCCAGTACCACTTAATAAAACCCCAGAGAAAGCTCCAGGGCTCAAGTGAGGCAGGGAAGAGAATTTATTAAAAAGAAGGGAAAAAATATCCCAAGAGAAAAGCAGCAGCTACTGGAAGAAAAGTAAAATATAAACCCTGACATTTCACAGTGGGCTGGCCTCCATTTCAGTGGCTGAACCTTCCTTCCAATTCTTCATTGTTCTTACAAGTCTTTTTTTTTTAATGCAGTTGTTCCCTGGGTGCTGCAGACTTGGGTAAAAGTGGCTCCATCCAAGAGAAAAAGGGATGAATTCACTCTGCTTTTCTTCCTGCCTTGAAGGAGGTGTGAATGCAATTCCACATCACTTCATCTCTGCTCAGACTGGCGAGGAGAGGAAACTTGATGAGGTAAACCAGAGCACTGGGATTACTAGAGTTCATTTCCAGCAGCTTTTATTTGTATGTAAATTCCCCCGTATTTTGATCAGTTTTTCTTGACAATAACAGTACACCTACCACATCTACCAGCTGATAAGGAGATACTGACAATTAAAGGAAATAGAACATTGCAAGAAACCCCAAGCCGCCTTCCTACAGTACTTGCTTAAATATTTATGGACAGCAAATATCTTGTCAGGTATCATCCCTCGTGCCAGGATATCACCTAGGGTGCTTTCCCAAGGTCTCCCACTGTGTGTTCTCTCACCACATTTGCACCTGGGGCAAGCCACCAGCACCAAGGAGGAAAAAGTTGTGCTGGTGATGTGAGGAGAGCCTGCAGAGTATCTCCACATCCTCAGGGAAAAGCTGTTAGGGCTTGGTTGCTATCAGAGACCCTGGGTAATACTTTTGAAGATGGGCTGTTCAGAAGGGATCCAGCTTCCGGGAATTTATTCATTGATCTGTTTATATACTTATTTTTACAAAGCTACCGGTTTCAGGAGCACAGATGACTGACACCATACCCAGTCATTCCCAGCTGGAACTCTGACAGGAGAATTCCTGATTATCCTTGCCTGCCTGATCTTTCCAGGCTGGCCAACATCTGCTGGGAGTGACTGTGCAGGGCATGGTTTAGGATTGTCCTCTTTTGCTGGGGAAGGTTCTTTGGCTTCCTCTTTCTGAAGGACCAGAATTTCATCCTCCAACACCATGTGTCTTTTTCTCTGTCTTTTATAAACAGAAGTTAATCAGTCAAAACTAATCACCGAGCCTTTTTGTGTATGGTAATCAAGAGGTAGTTGCAAAAATTATAATTAAGCAAGTAGCTGTCATATGTCATTTTATACTGGGTAGCACTGAATACTTATTTAGCTGGAGATATAAAGGGAAACAGATTTTAGAAGGTCACACTTACATTTTACAATCAATGTAAAAATGTGTCTGTAAGCATCATTTTGTTTGCAGACCTAAATTATGTGTATTTGTGTGTGTGTATCTCTACATCATCAAATACATGTAAATTTATATGTAAAACATCAGCATGCATGTACACAGACAGCTCACTGGCCAACCACAACAGAAGCAAAATTACATTAAAGTGCACTTTCTCCAACTAGAGCCTTTTGAGACGTGCAGATAAGACACCAAAATGTCAGCTTTGGTTCACAATTACATCACTGCTACACAGATCACCTTCAGCACTGCAGCTATTTTTAATGCTGACAAAAAACGCAGAACACATGATCCTTTTTCAACATTTTTTCAAGTGCATGTTGGAAGTTTTCCACAATAACTTCTCCAACCAGAATACAAAATAGCTGTGTTCACGCAGAGGCTCTGGAGGCAATTAGCAAGGCTTTTATCTAACAGTGCATTTTCTACTGATTTTCTAAACTTTCCCCCTGCTGCACACCTTGCTTTAAAAATACTTAAAAGTGCAAAAGTTGAGTCTCAGGTCTGTCCTTCGTGGCTACATTTTGACAGCAAAGCAATGTATTGTTGTTTACTGGCTAAGATGAGCTTTGCATTGTCACATGAAATGACAGTTTTACCTGAATTCAGTCTTGTTCTGAACAGTCTGAGGGGATTTTTGTGATAAACCAGCTGAAAACTGTTTAGCACTACAAAAGCATACTTTTCATGATAATATATTGTTTCCAGTGAAGTCGTCTCATTTGAGGTGCATATATGATAGGATAGTTTTTCAATTGAAGAATATAATCTTAGGATATGAAAACAACAAATATATATTAGTTCAAAAGGCCAAAGGTGCATGAAATTTTAATTCCAATTTTAAAAGGAAAGAAACTGAGTAGTCTAAATAAACTAGACCACAGTTTAGAAGGTGGTGACTGCTCAGGCCTAAAAGTATGAAGAGTTCAGCCTTTAAACTCTGCTGACATTCTTGATCAGAAGTCTGTGTGGGTGGCAGTTTTGGGGTTTTTCTAATGAACAATAGCAGGCAAACATTTTAACATAGAGACTCTTTCTTACTCCTAGAGAACCAAAGCTCCTGTAAGCACACACAAAGAATGGTGTGAGCCCCAGCTTGTCATTTGGACTGATAGTCCCTTAGCTTCTCTCATTGCTAAAATCACTTGATTTCAGTGTTTTATTTCCCCATCTGCTCTAGAAGTGGCATACCAACAGCTAACCTCAGGAAGATCTGCCCATTTTCTGCAAACACAGATAGTAAAGAACCATATTTAAGTGCCCATAAATGCCAGTTATTCTCATAGCAGTTAGGAATATTTTGCTGCAGATGACAAGAGCACTCATTCAAATTCAAAACAAGCCACCAAAGGTTACATTCTTATTTTCAGCATCTGTTAATAAGGGTTTTCTGTGCATCATATTTTTGTGATTTACCATTATTTTATAGTTTTCTGTATTCTCCTAGACATTGTTCAGCTGTTAACACAAGAAGTATCACTTGAGTTAAATGCTCTGGAAATGCTCACAATTAAAGAGGAGATTCTAAAAATATGTCCCAAACTTGTGGACAGATCACCTTGAATAAGCACTGACAACCACAAAAAGCATCCTGTTGCACAAAAAGGACCTTGCCACCAATATTGGATGCCGAGACCTTTCTAAACAGTAGAAAAAGTACAACACAAGCAGTGCAAAGACAAGAATCAAAAGCTGTGCATGGGCAGCACTTTCCAGAACAGGTCTCGTGCTTTAGGCATTTTTGCTGACCATATCTCATCAGATCTGGCAGCCATTCAGAGAGAGCTTCTTTTATTAAGAGATGAAGAAAGATCATCACACTAAAGAAGTGAATTGCCTTGACTTTTAGTGTGCCTCACATGCTTTGCTATTGAACACCTTTTACCTGGGCATGCATTGCAGGAGGGAAAAAAATACCACAAAACCACCAAACCTGTATCAAAGGTAGCTTTACATTTCTGGCAGGCATCACTTTCCTAATCTGCCTCACTTTCCTGTTCTTAGAAATCAGAGTCCAAAGTTCAATTGAATATCTTGGAAGGCACATTGGGTATGTGTGAGGTAGCTAATCCTTCTGCCTGCAGCTGAATGCAATGTGTACCACCTCCATTTTTCTAACCTGTGTGTATTGTGCCTAGGCACTTCAATGTTAGATTTCTGTGTATTTAGCAATGAACAAAGTTAAAGAAAAACCCCTCTCTTACACCCAATTTTTTTAGCAGAGAGACAGAAACATTCAAAGTGTCAGTTCAGGCTTGAACCAGTTCATATTTAAATAATTTTATTGTTCCATAGCATGACTTCCTCTACTTGGTCTCACAATCACAACTCCTGTCAAGGATGGCAAATTTAAATAATTCTTCTTGAGAGTAAAGCTTTCAGATATTAAACCCTTGACTGAATTTTCCTAGGAGAGATTGAATCACATGGAGATTTCATCATCTGGGGAAGGGCTTGGGGGAAGCGCTGCGCTGCTGTCCAGGGCAGGCGGACTCGTTCTGAGCCTTCTTTGGGGGTCAGGGAAAGGGGGGGTGAAGGCTCGGGGCTCTGATGCCGTTGGGGGCAGCCCAAGGTGCCCAGGAGAGGGAGCCCCACGGCGGTGCAGGAGCCGGTGGGGGGCGGGCGAGGGGCGGGGGTCACGCTGGGTGCCGTCCCCCAGAGGGACCCAAAGCTGCCACCAAATGCACAGGGAAATTGCATTCCAATGTCTTGGAACAGAGGCTCATCGGGAGTTTTCTCAGCTATCCAAGCACAGAGCCCTGGAGCCAAGGCAGCCTGAGCTGCTGTGTGCTTGCTGTGAGCCTTGAGGTGAGCGCGCATCATTGCGGGCTCGGGATCGATTGAAATGCGCTAAGGAAACCAGCTCTGGGGAGGGAGGGAGGCAGGGAGGGAAATGCTCTCTTAACATGTGCCAATGCTTCTGTCAAACTCATCAGGGCAGGACAGCGTTCAGACTGAAAGTGTAAGAAGATGTGGAGTGAGACAGAGAATCTGACAGGAGCACTGGACTCACAAGTGCACGGATTTTGCTTTTGGCTTGGATTGAAACTCAGAAGTTGTAAGGAATTTGGGAAGGAGAAGGGACATTTCAGAAGGAGAAGAAGAAAAAGAAGTTGTTGGTTTTTTTTACAGCCCTGGCAAAATCTTTGGTTCTAGCTAATAAAGGAAGTTAGTTGAAATAAAAAAAAGAAAAAAACATGGGTTTTTCTCCTTCACTGTTGTATTCGTTGGTGGTAGATGGTGTGTTGTTTTATTTCTTGGTCTTATTAACTCTGTGTAAATAGTTTTTTGAGTGAAGCTAACTTTCTGGACAGGTTGGTTTGTATTTGAGGTAGGATTAATTTCAAG